GGCAATTGGTGCTTTATCAGGCTCAGAAACTGTATAAATATAAAAGGTATGTTACCATTAACTCTAATTCCTTCGTAACAATATACAAAATTTGAAACAAAGTTTGGAAAACAGTGAGATATCAGGAAATCATTCTTTTAAAAGATCTTTTTTTAAATCACGGGCTTGACATATATATATACACAAANTCTAAGACTTTTTATTTAGAAGTGTATAAGTTGAGCTTATAATTTCAGAAAAACTTCCATACGTAATATTCCCATGTGATAAAAGTGTAAATCTATAATAAATAAACTATGGTAAATGTTAAATTAAATATTGCGAATTTAGTAGTTATAATTGACCGTATTAATTATTGTAATTAATTATATTTTTTTATCCAAGGTTTTGGTTGAGAAAAGTCGATGGTCGTAGGTTCGAATCCGGCCCGTGACGCGCTAGCTTCTTCCCAACAAAAACCTTAGATAAAAACGTAGAAGTAATTAAAATAATAATACGGTCAATTATGACTACTAAATACATATATGGATTAATATAATAATTATAGAACTACTTATTTCGCTAACAGTCCACTTCATAAGTCGCCGAGAATCGAATCCTGATTACACTATATTGGAAAATATGGCAAAAACGAGGTACATTTCAAAGGTTCTCTAGGTGGAAATGAGCAATTGGTGTCCGAGTAGATCGAAGGCACGATAGCTCAAGTGGTAGAGCAGCGGCGTATTAGCCGAAGGTTTAGGTTCGAATCACGTTTGTGACACTAGCTTTTTCATCTCAGTCAAGACCAAGATAAAAAAGTATAATTGATTTAAATTAAGTTTTTCTTTTTAGCAGATACACCGTCAATATTTAGCAAAACAGATCCAACAGTGATAAATTCTACGGCATTTTTCAATATAAAAGGATATGTGGATTGAATTAACTTCCATCGGAAAAATACACATAATCCATATATGTTTAGCGGTCATAATTGACCATAAAAATGATTTCAATTAGTTATTCTTTTCACCTCGACCAAACCCTTTGGTAAAAAGAATAATTAATTGAAATAATCATATTATTTTAAACAAGGCTTAGAAACGTACTTTCATTTTTTTTAAATCACGCATCTGTTCACAGACTCTTTTATTGAAGTTTCAGGACGTCGTAAAAACTACAAGCTACACTGACAGGCAAAAAATTCCACCCAATTGATTTTTTTTTCCATTTTGTCGATAAAAGAAAATTCGACCCTTAATTTATCTCATTATTTTATCAATAAATATTTGTTTATGCTATATTTTAAAGTGAGAATATCAATTAAAGGTAAACACACTTAATTCTTAATCCAAAACAAGAATAATTTCAATGTTTACTTTTCACGGAATTTAAAATGTTTGTTGAAGCAATTAATTTTTTAGTTTTCATCTCCGTTTTGTTAATTTCAATTTTTTAACTTAAAAATGTCATTTAGTGATGAGGACGTTGTGGGTGGTGTGGCACTTATTGATGAGTGATGTTCCATCAGGTATGCGGCTATGACCAACGGTGTTCCCTACAAAACTCTGCGAGACGGCGGTAGACGTTTTCGAGAAACTGGGACCTTCCATGGAAGGCCCAGTTCTGGGCGCCTAAGGGTAACAGAACCACAGGATGACCGTTTTTTGACTTTGAAAATTTTGGGAAACCGGCACCTTACTGTTGGTCAAGCAATTCATCAGCTCCAACAAGTTCGAGGTGTCCAAATTTTTGAACGCACTGCTCGAAGAAGATGAAATCAGTATGGAATGATGGCGTTTCGCCTTGTAAGAGGACCAGAATTGACCAGAACACAGAGTTGCACGGCTCGCATTTGCTCGAGACATAGCCATTGGTCTTGGGAGGATTGGTCTGCTGTACTTTTTACAGATGATTGTAGATCTCGAGATTGGCGTGAAAGAGTGTGGAGAAGGTGAAATGAAAGGTACGAAGCTTGTAATTTTCCCAGAGCCAATCTTTTCAGCTCAATGATGGTGAGGACAGGAATTTCGATGGAGAGTCACACAGCGTTGGTTTTTGTTCGTGGAGGGTCTTTGGCGGCCACTCGCTATGTGGATGAAATTTTGGAACATCATGCGTTGCCTATCCTCGATGAAATCAGCGTAAATCCTGTTCTAATGCACGATAATGCCGGTCCACATGTCGCTCGCATATTACAAACATTCTTCAACAGCATAACATCAGGGTCTTAGCTTGTCCAGCCCGTTTTCCAAACTTGAACCCCATCGGACATTTATGGGATAAGTTCAAAAGACGAAAAAGAGCACCTCCATCTCTTCCTGATACACTCCACGATCTTAGACTTACTCTACGTGAATAATTGGCTAATCTCCAGCAAAGGGACATTTCCAGATTGGTAGCAAGTATGTCGAGGCGTCTTCGAGATGTAATTAAGTCAAGAGGAGGAAATACGCGATATTGAAATGTTTATTAAAAATCTAAAACAAATTATTCTGAAATCGTGAGATGCGGTCTGGTGTGATGTAGGTTTCAGAAAAACATTCTCTTTATCGTGCTAACACGACACGCAAAAATGGCACAATTACACAGAAGACAAACTTTGAGTGAGTAGAAGTACTTTGATTGAATATAAAAAATATATTTTGCATTGTATAAATTCACTTTTCCACATCCTGAATGTGTGTAACAAATGTATTTGTTAAATGTAAACAATGTTTGTAAATCCCAGGCCCTGAAGATGATCTCAATAATGATCGAAACGTTGGCACGATAAAGAAAATGTTTTTCTGAAACCTACATCACACCAGACCGCATCTCACGATTTCTGAATAATTATCGATTAACGGTCACTAATCACCACACATCTAATTTTATCTATCCGTCATTTTTTCATTTTCCTTAGCAATTTACATTTTGCTTTTTCCGTTCCTAGACAAAGACTCAATAATTAAACGTTAAAAAACGTGAAACTTTGATTAATATATTAAAATATATACAAAACAAGTTGTATTACAAGTGGGTGGAATATTTTGCCCGTCGGTGTATTGAATTATCGATGCCAAATTTTTTCCCTTTTGAAAATCCATCGGCTTTTCCAGCTATCTGTAAAATCAAGACTGTTATCTAATCATTAAGCTCTGTTACAATCTATTACCTTTCTTGGGTTTTCTTAACAATATTTCTTTTTAAATGGTTGCCCCCTTTGAGCTTAATAACTCTAGTATGGGGTAAAAGTGTGTAATTCGATAAATAAACTATGATAAATGATAAAATATAATTTTTTTGATTGGATATAGACAATAGGTCGAATTTTACTCTAAAAGGCTTTCAAATTTTTCATAAATCAGTACCGTTAACCAACCATCAAGACCTATCCACGAAGGTCTACATTGTTTTATACATACATTTATTAAAAAGTTGAACTCCTTTTATCTAACTTTAAGGTCTACGGTGTCTATTGCCTATTTGGTTTTGGTAATAGTTTTGTTTTAAAGCAGGAATGGTCGCCCCCTTTGTACTTGCTGATACCAAGCTGAAATAATGTGTACATTTATAAATAAACTATTGTAAATGATAACACTGTAATGTTTTATTAGTTACAACAGGATGATAGATGTTTATTAGAGACTGCAAAACGATATTATATATTATCCAATTGTTAACGTCTATACAGTTTATTTACAAGAAAAATGTATATATTTTATGCAAATATTTAAGGCCTTTTTTTATGTTACCAAAGTCAAATCGACTATAGACACTGTTTTTGGTGAAGGTTACTTTTTACATCGGGAATTGTCGCCCCCTTTGAACTAGTGATTCTTAGGCTGTAATAAAGTGTAAACGTATAAATAAACTATGGTAAATGATAAATTAGAAAATATAATTATTAGGTCCTACGGGGAGAGAGATATTTATAAGAAAGATTAAAACTTTTATTTAATCTTTTCCGTCCGTTTTAGGTTTTAGTCAAATAGGCTATAGACAGTTATTGCCTATTTGGTTTTGCTAAAAGTCGCTTTGTAACGCAGAAACAGTCACCCTCTTTGAACTTAGTGACTCTTGACTGTGATAAAAGTGTAAATCTGTAAATAAACTATGGTAAACGATAAAATTGAAATTTTTTTATTAATTCCAATGGCGTGGCAGATATTTACTAAAGTTTTCAAAACGTTTCGAACGAATATTAACAGTTTATTCCCACTTGCCAATAGGACAAATTGTGCTTTATGCCGTCTTGCTTTTCAGCGATCTATTAAATCATGAATGTTATCCAATTTTAAAGGTCTATACAGTTTATTTATAAGAAAAATGTTAAAGTTTTATCCATTCGTTGAGGACTTTTTTTGGTTTACCAAACCCAAATAGATATTGACACTGTTTTTGGCAAAGGTCGCTTTTTAAAACGGGAATGGTCGCCGCTTTGAACTTAGTGATTCTTAGGCTGTTATAAAGCGTAAATGTACAAATAAACTATGGTAAATGATAAATTAGAAAATATAATTATTAGNGTTTTGGGAAAAGTTTCGTTTTAAAGCACGAATGGTCGCCCCCTTTGAACTTAATGACTCTTGGCTGTGATAAAAGTGTAAATCTATAAATAAACGATGGGAAATCATATATTTTCCTTTCGAATAAAGCGATTGATCGTTATACATTTCGGCTGATCCGTCGTGAAAGATTGGCGCTCAACGAAGACATATCGTCTACCGGTCATAGACGACATGCCACCAAGAAAAAAAAAGGACGTAAAGGTCCTTAAATCAGTCCATCCCGACGACATTCGTAATTTTCAATAAAAATTGCGCTTGAAAAAATGTAATTTTTGTTTGTTAAGAGAGGTACTGGTGAAGGAGGGAAAACGTGGGCCGTACTTTAACATCGGGTGGGGGCCGGGGGTGGTTTTCGGGGGGTGAGAAATTTGGAAGGAGGGTAGGCGGGGGCCGAAGTGCGCGCAGAAAGTGCGCAGCCTTCCTTCGGGGTGGGGAGCTCAGCTAGAGAAAAGTAATAAAATTGAATTTCATATCGTGTTTGCACTTCTACCCCACCCCCTCCCCTATCAAGTGTCCCCTAGCCTGACGTCACGCATCAATCGATACTTTGTTTTGTGGATTTCAGTTGTATGTGTTGTGAACGGGAAGCAACGTTTCTTGTGGACTCCCTCTCCGTAACTCTCCCCTTTAACTTATCTCTAATATCTACCTACCCGAGGCCTCCGAAACACCATGACTTATAACATATCCCGTAAGTAATAGTTATATTTATTATATTTTACAGTCAAGTTTGTGTTAAAAAATTTTTTTTATATAATCATTGTAGCTGTTCTCGTAAGTTTTCACTTTGTATATATGTCTACGATACGCTTAGGCAATATTGTGCGTGTGTAGATATTTTTTTTTCAATTTTTCTCGTATTGTAAACAGTAAACAAAACTTGACGTTTCTTGTTATTCTTCATCGTATGGCGGAGGGAATGGACTGTCACGTCGGGCTTACTCGGCTTTTTTTTTCTTTCTTGTCGTAGTAAATACGAGAGTGAAAGCTTTCCATGCCGACCCCCGGTTTTTATTTTAAAACAACCCTTCATTGATAAAACCTTTTGTAGTAAATAGCCCACACGCTTTACTCTCCCATTCATTAACGCGTGCCCGTGATTTAATTGGAGCGCTACGCTTACCAGCCACCGGCTCACGTGGAATCTAAGGAGAAAAATTTCGAATTATAAAGAAAAAAACACTGAAGGGAGCGTAGCGGGCTTGTCACATTTTCCCTCCCTGGAGATGACGTGCAGTCGTGTCGTACGCGTCCGGCCGATCGTAAACCAAACCACAGATTTCCTTTAAAAAAAAAAAATTAAAAATATCCATGCCCGTTAACCATTAACACATTCCGTTCATTAACTTTATTTAAACAGATTTATTTTTAAAACAGTGACTCGGCCACTGGGAAAAGACTATACAGCTGGAAGGAATATACGTAGGGGAGTCGGGAGTTATTGATTTGAAGACCGTGAAATTGTAAATGTATTGTTCAGGGTTTTTCAGTAGGGGAAAGACGGTGGGTGGGTAGGGGGTGGATTTCACTCTCTCTTCTCCTCTTCCTTTCCCTTTCAGCCAAGGTTGCCACACCTGCCTTTCTCCAACATCCCTTAAAGCCAACTTTTTTTTTAATCCAACTAAACAGTGTTCAGTTCAACTCCACTAATCAGGTGTATATCATTTCTTTAGCACATCAAAATAAACAAAAAAACAGTTACATGAAATATGATTTATTTTTGTTAATTAAAGTCAAAAGTTGTGTTCAATGTTTCCATATAAACTATGTGATATTGCTATTTTATTTTATTTTTAAGTGAGAAAAAATCAGTCAAAATGAGGGTTTTTTTAAAAATGATCTTTGCAAGACCCTAAAATCCATATTTATTTGATCAAATTCATTCCAAAAACTTCACCTCCGTCCTTGATAACCTCAGTTTATCCTTTCTAAAGTTGTGCTCGCTTAATTGACATCGTGCAGGTTTAAACGCAAAAAAAAAAACAACGACAGGATCTGCAGGTGAGATTCTTAACAAAACTTGTTATTTTACAACATCCGGCCAAAAATACGCTATTTAATCAAAATATTGAATCGTTTTAACGAACCCTAATTGCACAATATCTCGGAAAGAAATACGAAAAGCAAATAAACAATAGGCCGGTGGAATTGTGACAAGTCATTAATTACAAATAACCAACGACATAATGATTCGAGCTTTGTCATCACGCGACTTGTAAACCGTGTGCGTTAGCTCGATAATGACAAAGGGGATGAAAAATTGATAACGTGGTACACAGAATGCAAACAGTTTTTTTACTGGATGACACAGGTTTTAACGACCAATTCAGATCTTAAATCACAAGATTGCAGATAGTCTGTTAATCCTGACAGAATTTTTTGTTCTAAACATGCATGCTTCGTTAAATTAGTGAAGTGCACAGTGTAGAAATTTTCTTTTCAGGTTCATTCGGAACGGTTTAAAAGTGTTGTCAAAGGTAAGTCCTTATATAAGGCAAATCAACGCAACAAGTGATGATAATAATACAAAAGGGAATCAATGAAATAAACGAAATAGCACGGGAAAAGTTCAATCTAAATGGCACTTTTTTTACATGTTAAAATGTCCAGGACTTGCGAGAAACTTTCTCCTATTGAAATTCTTAACGGCGTTGAACTTATGCAATTCCGTCCGGCACCTGTGTCACGCTGAACATTTCAAGACGTCTTGTAAGAAAGTGCCGTGCAAACGTGGTCGTAAAACTATGTCCGAAATGCCACGTCTGTCGTGACCGACCTAGCAGAAAAACATCAATCAGGCCTTGGCTTGTTTTCCGACTCGACAGCGATGTATTTCTCACTTCAGAATAAATGTAAAACCTTAAGGTTTTTTTCTCTTCACTTCTTGCCTGTGACGTGACGTTTAAAAGGATTTCTGCCTATTGTCATGCACTGGATAACCCTGTACCAAGAGAAAACAGCTTTTTTCCTTCCATCAATCGAAACATAAACTAATTATCCTTAACTTTCATTTTTTTTATGGAATGATTAGTTTTTTTCACTGAAGCATTTAAAATATAAAACATAGAATGAGCACGATTTGTTTGGTTATTAAGGATTGTTATTACAACAATTTTTTTTTGTATTAATCACTATCATTAATCTTTTCTTTTTTGGCTTCTTTTGTTCTTCTTACTTGTCATATTTTTAACTCCTTTCTATCTCGCCTTACATTAAGCTGTTTTTTACTTTACTACTGTATTTCTCGAAAAATTTATGCGATTATGCAATTTTATTAATTTTAAGTGGTAAAAGATCGTTTAAGAAGATGCCGTAGTTTTTTACAATATTGTACAATAACGACCAACTTATCAAGCTTGTATGTGTAAAGTCAGATCGATGGCACATGCAACATTGTTGATCTTTCTTAACTTGAGCTTTGGGTAAACTTTAATGAAGTGTTTATATTCACTAACACCCGGTTTATATTTGTGTACATGTAATACTCAATTTACTTTATTTTTAATTGTTTCACTTCTAAAGATTGCTTTTTTTTAAAAGATTTTTTAGCTTACTTTCTTGTTGTTACGAACGGTTGCAACCGGTTGTCTTTTTTTTATTGTGTATGTGTTGTAAATGTGTACATTTCGAATCACCCCTCGTTCTTCTCCACCAGAGAAAATCTCTACGATACTGTAAAGCAACGGAAATATTGTCGAAATTTCGTATAATAAATAGGAAGAGGGCTGCTTCAAAATATACACATTTTATATTTAAAACGGCAATTTGCTGTAATTTTTCTTAAGAAAAAAAAAGAGTAATCTACACAATTTAATAATAATTTTTTTTCTATCGGGGAAAACTTGATGTTGAAATAAAATTGTTACAAGAACGAGAAAACACTATTCCTTTCTCGGCGGTTCTTGTCTTCTATCCGGGGATCGGAGTATAAAATAAGCCGAGATTAAAGAAAGGCGGATGTAAAATTGGAAGGTGGACAGAGAGGAAAAGGGCCTCCAAGCCCTACAATATTGTAGGGCAACGCCCCTTGTAAAAATCTCCGCCTGCCTTAAAGGGATCTGATCGTTGCCAAATTTTCCTGACTGACAGTGTGAACAAATTACTTTAAATTACAGAAAAAACATCACTGAACCAATGTCGCAATTATGAAAAAAAAATCGATCAAAGCTAGAGAGAGAACGGACGTGGTAACGACTGTAATTTTTATGCTGAGAGGAGGGTGAAATTCATGCTACCACACGATAGTAATCCCTGTAATTCACGTTTACTCAAAATGTAGTTTCGTAGTTTCAGTTTATTTTTCATGTCGTTAATGATAGTGAATTTGGCGGCCTGATTGATTTTCTAAAACATGGAAATCCCTTTTAAACGCTTTTACTACGTAGAGCAGTGAAAGCGTACTGCTATTATTCCTGATTCGTGTGTATTACGTCTTCTATTTCATTCGCTGCATTACACCTCGAACGGCCCCGGTCGATTGTCATTAAAATACAATAATAATGTCTGTAAACATTTTAACAGAGTAAACGTAACTCTTGGTTCTTACATTCGTGCTAACTTTCGTTTTCAATACAATTGACGTGTTTGTATAAACGTATATTCGATTTTTACAAATATTTTACAATATGTGTGGTGACTAGTGACCGTTAATCGATTAATTATTCAGAAATCGTGAGATGCGTTCTGGCGTGATGTAGGTTTCAGAAAAACATTTTCTTTATCGTGCCAACGTTTCGAACTTTATTGAGATCATCTTCAGGGCCTGGGATTTACAAACATTGTTTACTATTTATTTATTTTACAATGTTAATAACATGAATGCAGTTTCTAATTATTTGGATTAAATTGCTATAATTTTGACTCTTCATCCTAGGCCAAATTTGAGACCCGAAAAGTCTTTTGGATAAACTCAACATCCATACCAATAGACATGAAAAAGATTTCCTATCGTTTTTAAATCTGCGCGATGTGTTCTGTTCAAAATTTCAGAAAAAAAATTGCGCAATAATTTATCATTGTGTATTTCAGTCAGAAATATTAGAAAGGGGCGGTACAATATTTATCATTCGAATACATATTTTTCAACAATAATAATTTAACATATCAGTTCATTTAAACAATAAACGCACTAGTTTAACCTGGAAAGATTTTTCGTGCGAACATATAGTACTATATTTATTTTTTTAAGCTTTATTCTACTTGATGTATTTTAATTTCGATAAGCTATTCTTTTTTTTCAGTTAAGTTTTAAGTCTACACTTATCATCTAAGCTTGTAAACATTAAGAATTTATCATACTTCAGAAATTTTTCAAGGCCATTTCGTTGTTCAACGAGAGGCTAAAAGGTGCCCATTTTTTGGGCAAAATTTGGAACAACCAACTCAAAATATATTCGGTCTACTAAACCAATCAGTTTTTGCTTTATTTTCCTTACCTTGACATACATTCGTAGCTAGGCTTTTTTTTTATTGAATCGTTATAGCCATTTTAAATTATTTTGTCCTGAAGATGACCTTAAGAGGGTTGCAACGTTTTTCGGACGAACATTTGATTTTTGATCTCTTTTATTTAACTCCACCTCTGCTCGTTTGATTTTAATTTCAATACGCATTTCAAAAATCACCACTTTTTATTGAAGAACGTCAACTTCAAAATTGTACCGTATTTCAACAATTTTTTTAAGGTCGTTC